TGCTGGAAAAAGCTGAAAGTAAATAGAGATATTTTGCTTTTATTCCAGTGTTTCAATTCTACTTCTGAAAAATATACCTGTAATGTCCATTCACCTCACAAGGATGCTGTGAACATAGATTGTGAAACAATAAAGGGATGCAGGTCATTAAAAAGTCTCTAAGGATGTGAATAGCAGTGTCATCAGGGTAGGGTTTTGTTGGTGTGCAGAAAATAAAACAGGGTACTGACAGGATAAATGGAAATACTGAATGTTGCCTGTCCTAGATTTTGAACAAAGATTTTCTTTTTTCCTGGGGAGGAGGGACAGGTGGGTTTAGACTGTATCTGATCACGTTATTAATGACAGCCATGTGGACTGACAGCATGGGGCTGAATTCTGGAACTTAATTTCTGCGTGCTTGACTTCTTATACTCATTGGTGTTCTAGGCTTGTTTTCTTTTTTCGTTTGACATCTGTAATACGTCAAACAGTTACCATTATGTCACACTTTGTGCTTTTACAAAGTGCAGTGTTCCATAATTGATTAGTGCTGTATCTCATTGTGCCTAAGCAGACTGGATTTACCATAAACTTCGGTATAGTTAGTGACTTATGTATTCCAGATAGCAAGTTCTTGTCTTGTAAATTGGCATTTTCTACAGTGTAGATTGTATACTTACATAAACTAAAATCTAACCTACATTCAGCCACTAAGTTTGGGAAGATTCCCTAAGTGCAAGACAGTGTGTTCTGCATTGCCTTTTAGTGTGTTGCAGTGACATATTAAGATTTTCAGAGAAATATGCAGGGACAATAATATAGCATCCATATACTGCTATGAAACAGATTTTTTGTTTTTCAATACTTTTTGGGTATAGGTATATATACCTCATTCTTCTTACATGTTTTGAGAATCTTTCTTTTTCTAGCAAATTTTCTTATTCAATCTTTTCTTTGGGTATGGGTCTTGGTTAGTGACTGTTCCATTTGTTTTCTGATATTCTACATATAGTTTGAATAAAAATCAATCACTTACTGTTTGTGTGTGATTTTGAGTGCTTGAGCACTTCTTGGAAGTTTTTTTTTTTTTTTTTGGCTCTTACAGTAATTGTAAGTCCCGTTAAGAGCATTCAATTGATCATTAAAAGAAAACACCTCAAGTTTCACTCACAATTTTCACATGAATAATTGTTGAGTTTTCCCCAGCCCCATGTGAAACGCAGTTCTGTATATGGTTTCACTGAAGGTCTAGTACAGATTTTACCTACCAGTCCACCTATTTTAGCCTGAGTTAACCATTACAGCAGCTCAGCATATCCATCCTAAATAAGCATTCCATTGTGCTGATAGATGCATACTGCATTACTGCAATTATTTTTCATAGTTTAGATAAAGCACAAAGCTAAAATGACTTACTTGAAAGCCATCAGTTAAACCATGCTTTTAAACAATAAGCATCTAAAGTAAAGCTTTGGTTGTCTTTGTACATTTTAAAATTTGAATCATTTAATCAGGCATCTAAACATTTCTCAGACTTCAATTTAGATGCCTTTTTTTTTTTTTAAATTTGAGCTTCCTCGTTCTAAGTTAACGATTTGCAGCAACTATCCCTTACACAAAATGTAGTAATCCGAGATCTATGACAAATACATTTTATTGTTGATGAAGGTTGACATATCAGTAATAACAACAGTAACCTAATAAAGTTCAGTTGGTAGAATGTAAGAGTTAGTCTGTTAAAAAGAAACAAAACTTGTAGTAGAAATAAAAACCAGAAGGACAGTGGACTGTCAGATATATTCATTACTTCTAATTTGGTTCCACAGAAACATTATTACCATGAAAACATTTCTTAAAATATCATCCAAATTAATTTGCCAGTCATCCCACTTCCAAAACAGTTGTCTGATGTTTCTGCAATACACAGCTTCTAAAATGAGCATTCCCAGATGAGTTTTTTAGTTATAGCCAGTTAATTTTTTCAGTCTTAGTGAAGTAGCTAAGATATTAATACCTTTTCACAATTTTTGACACAATTTTTCATACAAAATGCGTATGTTTACAGTGGTATGGCTGCTTTTGAAAATCTTTTCCTCAGTGATTTTTATTTGAAATTGATTTGTTTGTTTTAGGTTTCCACACCGAGTTTTATGTTCAAAGAAGATTCACTTACATTGTGATATTATTAACTGCAAGAGTTCACCTTTATTTTTGCACCTTTTTGCAATTTATTATTCTTTTCCCCAGAGGACACCAGTGCCTTATGTAACTGAGGCTTCTATGTCTCTTTTCTGTGAGATCATATTCAGGGGGACATATTTCAGCTGTATTATATATATATGAAACATAATAGTCATTGAAAACATAGGGGGATTGCAGTGCAGTGCTGTCTTAACAGAGTTTGTTATGGCTTCCTGGTCCCCTGAAAGACATGAATAAAATTCTCTGTGGTCATGAATCTATCACACGAAGTGACAGTTGCATTAAGAGTGGGATCCAGTTGCCTGAACATAGACATTTAATGCCATTTTAGACTCCCAAAAGTTTCCATGATATAGTAGGTACATAGGGGGCCTAAAAGAGCATTAGACATCTATGTTTAGGAAACTGAATTCTAGTCTATGTACAGTGATGCATAAATTGTTGAAATTAGTAGTTGGCAAGTTCTTAACTGTTTTCTATAGCAATATCTTAGGTATATACAGATGGAAGTATAATTTCTAGAGATGCAGGCATCTAGATCAGTTGTATTTCATATCATGATTTTGGTAGCTGTCAAATTAGCACATGCTATAACATACATACTCTTTTGCTTGAACAAAAGCCGTAGTCCAGATTACAGTGGATTATAAATGGGAGAGGTAGTTTTTCTAGTTTGCCAGGTGGTTTGCTATTATTTAGAGCAGTATACATTTGCAGAGTTACCACAGTTGTCACTTTGAGAAATACTTCAGAAACTGATGGTGTTGGTCATTGTCTTTAGTCACCTGAAGACTGCCTTTGTTCTTTTTCCCATGGAGTTGTAATCTGAATATTTTTCTTTCACTTTTGCTAGCCATTTTCTTTTTTAATTTTTCTTTTTCTTCTGTATTTTCTCTTATTTCTCCATCCTGCATTCAGAATTTATGAAGCTTTCTTCTTACCAGTTGGATTAGATTAGCACATCCAGGAAATGAGTTTACAAAAAAGTGTTTCTGTTCTTATGTAAAGGAAAAATTATCTGAGTTTCTTTTCCATGCCACATTCTTCAGCCCAGCCAGGTGAAGAATTTCTGTACTTGATGAACCTGAGGTGTAATGCTTGCAAGAGTCTGATTTTACTCTTAAAATATTGCACCACGTCAAAGCACTTAAAAGAAGTGTAGGGAGATTACAGCCCAAAAGCAGTTTTGCCTAGGCCTGCCAGCAAGGGCTTCAGACATAAATCTAGAAATGGTATTGCATGAGCCTTTGTTTGTTTTTCCTAACCTGTTGTTGTCTGAGGAAAACAACTTTACTGCACACTATAGTGATGGTGGAAAACTGGTTGGCATGCACTTCTTCGGATCTTTATTCCTTACAACTAATTGCTAGTGCAGAAGGATATTGTGGTAATGAAGCCTCAGGGCCTGACATTCAAGTACAGGCCAAACAAAATCTGACTTGTCAGACCGTGAAAAATAGCATCTTTTTGGTGAAACTGGATAATGCTTATCAGAAGACTCATTCCATAAAGCTATAGATCTCTGAGCTTTTCAGAGACTGCAGCAGCTTTTCCTGTTCTTTGTTCAAATCTGTATTGAGGCCACAGCCTTTTTAGGCCTACTCTAGGCTGACAGTAGTCCAAGGAACTGCATGACTTCTCCTCATACTATAGGGGTTTTTTCTACTTTCTGGAGGCAGAGTCCACCTGTACCTAATTTAGCTGTTCTGTGATAGCTTGGACAGTGTGATGTAAAGATGCTATGTGTTTTGTTTTGTTTTTTTCATACTCAGTTTTTATGAAATTAAATAGTATTTTCTCTAGGCACTTCAGGTTACTTGAGTAGCAGATCCACTACTGCAAGACCAGGTGCCAGATTGATGACGATTTCCTCTAAGTGCACATGAGTTAAATCTGTTCTGTAACTTTCTTTCAGAGAGCTTTACTCTTTGCTAATTCGGTATGTTCATACTTACACACACTGAGAGGCAAGATTTTGAAGAAGGATGTAAAGGACTCAAAGTCCATTTTCAAAAATATACAGGCTCTTTTTCCTGCTTAGAATTAAGAGATTAAGTTAAGAGATTATCTCCAGGACATCAGTATTTTGTCCTGAAGGAAGTTACTCAACAGAACTAAATTGAATTGGATTTCAAAAGTCTATTAAGGATTTTTTTTTTTTTTGGACGGTAACTGTGTTGCTAACAATTGATTCAGGTACTATAATGGCTTTATTTAGCTACTGCAGAAAATACTGATCTTTATATTCCCGCTTTGCCGTTCTACTTCTGTCTTCCAAAATTTACCTTGATATTCCCACTCATAAAGTATTGCCTGTGTTCACATGAATGCAGTTCCCTGCCAAAAACTATGATATCCTGTCCAAAGATTGTATACATAGCAGGATTTCAAAGATGTTTTAACTGAATGCACAGTTTTAGCTGTTAAGAAAAGGCATAGCTTAGTAAAACTCTGCTTGCCTGTGAAGGTTTTCTATGACTCGGACTAAAATATGTCTAAAGAAAAATCATCATTACTGATGAAAATTAATTAATAATGTTGCTGGATCTTATTAACCTTCTTGTTGATTTAGGATTTTTCATAAACAATGCAAAAAGGATATATGGAGAAAAGTAACTGTTTCCAATGTGTTAATAAAGATAGTGTTGTGCAGATCTTGACTGGAATCTTAATAAAGGAGTATTTCCAATTTATATTTCCTATATTAGGAAGTCAATCATCTGCACTTTGCCCACAAGCCATATATTATCTCTCTTGTTTATTTTTCCAAATAACAGTAAAGCTATTAATAAGATTCCTGTTTGCTTATTCTACAGAACCCAAATCAATTTCACAGTAGCTATTGATTTCACAGCATCAAATGGTAAGAATCAGAATGAGTTTCTTGTGTATTTGTGTGCTATTTTCAGCTTTAAAGCACTTTTTCTAATATCGCATACATTTGTGAGTGTGTGTGTATGTGTATCTATATCAATACTCTACATAATTTGGCTGTATTATTAATTATTTGTATCCTTGGCACCACCTGGAATCATCATGCTCTTTTACTGAGCAACAACAGAGTAGAAACCAGTTTCTGTCCAGAAAAGCAGGAAAAATACAACTGACAGAAACTGAAAAAACTACATACAAAACTAAAATAAGTACAGGAACATTTTGCAAATATTTCTATATTTTCTGGTTTTTTATTATTATTATTATTACTAGGAGAAAATTGGCTAAATCAAAAGACCCTTCTGAGAGGGACAAAGGAAAGGAGATTCAGATGGCGTAAGGCAGAAGTGGACTGAAACAGAGAAGAGTTTAGATCCCCCTCTGTATTTGTTTTCAAAATGTCATAATTCTTATGTAAATTTTATCTCAAAGGTGTGTGTCGTAATATAAAAATGACATAAATTTACAAGCCTAATCACAGTTTGTTGCTACCCTATCAATGCTGAAAAAGCTTAAAACTGCTACTGTTAACCCATTAAAAATTTGTCAGAACATTGCATTTTTGCCTAATTTAGTCACACTTATGTATCTGGGAAGTATGTTTCCTTTTCAAAATCTTTTTTTATCATTTTCTGCGCTCCTAGGTTTCTCTCATTTTAAGAGAGAATTTTGTAGTAAATTTGATTCTTGCTTCAACAGGAAACCCTTCACAACCCACTTCACTTCACTACATGAATCCCTATCAGCTGAATGCTTACGGCATGGCACTGAAAGCAGTAGGTGAAATCATTCAGGACTATGATAGTGATAAAATGTTCCCAGCTCTAGGTTTTGGGGCTAGACTGCCTCCAGATGGAAGAGTATCACATGAGTTTGCATTGGTAAGTGAACACATATATGTGAATTCAATTTTTTTCCATACTTTTTGTGCCTTTTTTTTTAACAGTGTTCATAATCTTCTTAATTCTACATCGTTTGGATTTATTTATTAAGAAAAAAGTTTGGGAGTTAAATTCGCAATCTTAAGTAATTACTGGCCGTTAAAGAACAGAGAATACGCTAATTCTTAGGTCTAAAAAACTTTCAAGAATTTTTATCATAGTGAAGTTACTGAGAGAAAATCAGAGTCAAGAAAATCCTTTAGACCAAAAATAATAAAAAGTGATCATCTTTAACTCCAGCTGTAGCAGCATGAAAAACAGATTTTCAAAGTCTTCAGTTTGAAGCTGATCTGTCTTAATATACAATTGAATCGTGTTTCGTGATAATGATTTGTTATTGTTCTTATTGTTCTCTCTCATTTTGGGGGATATCTTTCTTTTCATTTTTACAGGCTGCTGTTTTTAGAGACTTCTAGAGATAACTAAGTAGAGTATAAGATGAGGTTGGAAGGAATATATCTGTCTATATGCCAATTAAATTGTAGAACTAAAATCTAACTAGCTTGCCAGAAAGTTTAATGTGTTCTAACTGATGCATGAAATTAGTGTGGATGTTTATCTACTTGCTTATTTTGACTTTTTTGTTCTTCTCAGAGTAGGATAAAGTTCTCAGAATTACAGCAAGTACAGGTACCTCACATCAGTTTTAATTAGGTATCAGCATGCCAGGTTGCATGTCAGAATGGACTGGTGATCTTAGATGTGTATTTTAGCGATTAGCCTTTGCTAGAAACCAATGCCACATCCTAGCCCCACTTTTCCATATGGATAGTAATTTAAAGCAGACATAATTGCAGATACAAATTTGGATCACAGAATTTCTTTGGACTTCTGTGTAGCAAGTTTGAAAATTTTGATACATACAATCATAAGACTATTAAAACATCAAATTGTTCCCGGTTACTTTTCAAATTTTAAAGCTGTTTCTAAAATTAATTCAATTAATTCATGAGACGTTAAGAGTGCTTTCACAAAAGAGAAAATAATCTTTTTTGCTCTAGCCTTCCTCTGGATCTAAACATGTATTGTTGTCTCCCATTTAATGCTCAGCAATATTTTCAGCGCTGTTGTTCAACAATCTAAATCAATCCCATGAAAAACCCTCTTTGCTTTTCTGGATTTGCAAGGAGCTATATTATGCCACAGAATGAGGTACTGGCGCATTAAGGCACCAGGTATTGGCACCTGAAGGAGAACAAGGTGTTTTACATCGGCCTGCCTGAATATTTCAGGGAGAAATCATGACTGACCAACCTGATTGCCTTCTGTGATGAAACATCTAGACATGTGAATAACAGGACAGCAGTGCATGTCATCTACTTGCTACTTTAGCAAGACTTTTGACACAGTATGCTTGTATCCAAGATGGAAAGTTATGATCTAGATGGGTGCACTGCTCAATGGCTGAAAAAACAGCTGGACTGTCAGACTCAAATGGTAGTGGTTAATTGTTCATATGCTACCCAGAGCCTGCTTATAAGGAGAGTGTCTGGGGTCAGCCCCGACACCTGTCCTGAGACTGGGACATGACTATGGAGGATCCTCTTGCACCCCTCTTGGGAAACCTGCATACTCAGTTACCTCTTTGAAATGCTTGCACACCAATGCACACAGCATGGGGAATAAACAGGAAGAATGAGACCTGTGTGTGGTCGCAGAGATCTGATTACAATGATCTCATTACAAATGCAGAGACATGGTGGCATAGCTTGCATGATTGCATGACTGGAATGCTGTCGTGGATGACTACGTGCCTTTTAGGAAAGACAGACCAGGAAGGCAAGGTGGTGGAGTTGCCCTTTATGTGAGAGGGCAACTGGAATGTATGGAGCTCTGCCTCGGAGTGGATGAAGAGCAAGTTGAGAGCCTGTGGGTAAGGATTAAAGGGCAGGCTAACCTGAGGGACAGTTGTGGGTGTTTACTACAGGCCACCTGATCAGGAAGAGGAAGTTTATGAGGCCTTCTACAGACAGCTGGAAGTAGCCTCACGCGTGTGATCACAGGCGCTGGTTCTCATGAGGGACTTTGACCACCCTGACATCTGTTGGAGGAACAACACAGCAAGGCACAAACAGTCCAGGAGGTTCCTGCAGAGCATTGAGGATAACTTTTTGACACGGGTGGTGGAGAAGCCAACGAGGAGAGGTGCGCTGCTGGACCTTGTACTAACAAACAAGGAAGGTCTGGTTGGAGAAGTAAAGGTTGGGGGCAGCCTTGGCTGCAGTGACCATGAGATGGTGGAGTTCAGGATCCTGTGAGGAGAAAGCAGGGTAATAAGTAGGATCACAGCCCTGGACTTCAGGAGAGCTAACTTTGGCCTCTTCAGGGACCTACTTGGAGGAATCCCATGGGTTAGGTCCTAGGGCCCTAGCAGGAAGTGTGGTCCAGGAGAGCTGGTTAATATTCAAGCATCGCTTCCTCCAGGCTCAAGATGGGTGCATCCCTCTGAGTAAAGAAGTCCAGCAAAGCGGGCAGGAGACCTGCATGGATGAGCAAGGAGCTTCTGGCAAAAGTCGAACAGAAGAAGGAAGTGTACAGAATGTGGAAAAGGCCACTTGGGAGGAATATAGGGACATTGTCAGAGTCTGCAGGGATGTGATGAGGAAGGCCCCTTTGGAAATAAATCTGGCAAGGGATGTCAAGGACAACAAGAAGGGCTTCTTCAAATACATCAATGGCAAAAGGAAGACTAGGGAAAATGCGGGCCTGCTGCTGAATGAGGCAGGTGCCCTGGTAACGAAGGATGTCTTCACGGCTAAGGTCATCCTTCAGGAATTCCAGACCCTGGGGACAAGAGAGAAAGTCTGGAGAAAGGAAGACTCTCCCTTGGTGAAGGAGGGTGAAGTTAGAGATCAGTTAGGCAAACGTGGCACTCAAATCTATTGGCCCCGATGGGATGCACCCACGAGTGCTGGGGAGCTGGCGGATGTTATTGCTAGGCCACTCTCCATCATCTTGGAAAGGTCCTGGAGATCAGGAGAGGTGCCTGAGGACTGGAAGAAAGCCAGTGTCACTCCAATCTTCAAACACGGCAAGAAGGAGGAGCCAGGGAACTACAGGCCTGTCAGCCTCCCCTCAGTCCCTGGAAAGGTGATGGAACAGCTCATCCTGGATGTCATCTCTAAGCATGTGGAGGACAAGAAGGTGATCAGGAGTAGTCAGCATCGATGTACCAAGGGTAAATCATGCTTGACTAATCCGATAGCCTTCTCTGATGGAATGACTCTGGAGGGGTAGATGAGGGGAGAGCAGTGGATGTTGTCTACCTGGACTTAGAGCAAAGCTTTCGACACTGTGTCCCACCACATCCTCATAGGGAAACTCAGGAAGTGTGGGTTGGATGAGTGGATGGTGAGGTGGCTTGAGAACTGGCTGGATGGCCGAGCTCAGAGGGCTGTTATCGTCAGTGCAGAATCTAGTTGGAGGCGTGTAGCTAGCGGTGTCCCCCAGGGGTCAGTCCTGGGTCCAGTCTTGTTCAATGTATTCATCGATGACCTGGAGGAAGGGACAGAGTGCACCCTCAGCAAGTTTGCTGAGGATACTAAACTGGGGGGAGAGGCTAACACACCAGAAGACTGTGCTGCCTTTCAGAGGGACCTGGACAGGCTGGAGAGATGGGCAGAGAGGAACCTCCTGAAGTTGAACAAAGGCAAGTGCAGGGTGGTGCCCCTCGGGAGGAAGAACCTCATGCTCCAGCACAGGCTGGGGGTTGACCTGCTGGAAAGCAGCTGTGCAGAGAAGGACCTGGGTGTCCTGATGGACAACAAGTTGAGTATGAGCCAGCAATGTGCCCTTTTGGCCAAGAAGGCCAATGGTATTTTGGGGTGCATTAGGAAGAGCATTGCCAGCAGGTGGAGGGAGGTGACAGAGCACTGGCACAGGTTGCCCAGAGAGGTTGTGGAGCCTCCATCCTTGGAAATATTCAGAAGCTAGCTGGACAGAATCCTGGGCAATGTGCTGTAGGTGACCCTGCTTGAGCAGGGGGGTTGGACTGGATGATCTCCAGAGGTTCCTTCCAACCTCAGCCACACTGTGATTCTGTGGTTCTGTCCTGTTAATATCTTCCTCAGAGATCTGGAGGAGGAGATGGAATTCACCCTTTTCAAGTTTGCAGATGACAACAAGCTGCTGGGGAATGCAGTCAATACACTTTTCAGGGCAGGTTGAGCATACAAAGGATCCTAGTCCAAAGAAATGGGCTGAATGAAATTTAACAGGGCAAATAGAACTTCTGTGTCTAGGACAGAACAATCCCTGCACTGGTAAAGGCTAAGCACTATTTCAGCTCTGCTGAAAAGGAGCTGGGCAACCTCACTGATGGGCTGAACTTGGGTCAGCAGTGTGCCCTGGCAGCATCTCAGAAGAATGAGAAGAAATACTGATCCCTTCAATGTGATCTTCACAACTCTTCTTTTCTATTACTGATTGATTAGAGGAGATATCTTTGCTGTCTTTAGTAGGTACTATAGAAGCTGGTAGAATTTTGCTGAGAAGATTTTCATATTCCATGAGAAATCTGGCCTCTATTTAGCTTTATCCTTCATGATATGTTAACAGAAGCTTCAGAAAGATGAAATTGTACATATTGTTATGCTTGAGATTTACTGTCTACTCTAAGCCTTCAGGTTTGGAAGTACGATATGTTTCCTGTGTATAGGCAACGACATGAGAGTATTTACTAAGGATGAGATTCAGACTGGCCACTTGCATTGGCTAGCTTAAGCAGTAGAGCATCTAAGAAATAAAGACAATGGTAGTCAAATCTACGTAAAGGTAGATGCTCTCAGGTATGAGCGTTCCTAATCAATTCAGAGAGAGAGGCAACTCCAGAGCAGAATTTAGAAAACCTACATGCTGAGTAAGTAGCTGTGTGAGGTTGTCTAATGAAAAAAGCAAAAGTGGACATCTGATTTACTTCACCTCTCTGCAGGTTAAAAGCTATACATTAGGGTTTTTTTAATCCACTAGAATATAGAAGCAGCAAGGCTTCTGTAGAAGAGTGGAAACTTCACTGAGCAGATTTTTTGTTATTTCCAACTTCTGCCTAATAACCTAAAACAGTGCACAAATCCACAATTCTGCTATCCTTTTCTGAGGAAGAACCCTAACCACTAAACAGATGTTTATCTGGAAAAAGGTACCATCCACCTGACTTCTGAAATGTGCTTTTTAAACTGTTTACCAATTTTATGTTGTAAATTATATTGTTATTATTATTTTAAGTTGTTACTAGATTAAAAATAGAAATTCTTCAAGGAGCAAGAATCATCAGTGAGGTGGTACTGAGTATGATGGAGAACAGCTTTCTGCATCCTGTCTTGTTTGGATCTTATTTAGGTCTTTCCTTAATGTGTACTGGTAGTATTTACCGTCATAATTGAAAATGAGGTGTTAGGTATTTGGATATTGGTTCATAAAATTAATTCTGGTTAATGTGTAAGGTCAAGTTTTGTCTTCTTCCTATCTAAAAGGTTTGAAGCCTTACATGGATCGTTTGTCTGGCCTGACAAGACCATTAATCTGGGGTTTAGCTTATGTGTTTGTGTTGCCGTCTGTAAATTGGCATCCCGTTGTATTAGTCATTATGGAAAGGGGTAGTAACAAGCCTACCCAAAGAAATTATGCTCTCATGTACAAGACTCAGCCAATCCTGTGGCTTCCCAAAGACTAAGTTCTTTTTTTCATCTTTATACCAGATCCAAAATCAGTTTTCCAATGAAATATGAAAAGTTTATGGTTTCCCTTACGCTCAAATATTGGACTTCAGGATCTGGCCACCGTCTCTTTTTCTTCACACTTTTAAGATAAGAAATTCTTGAGCCAGTCCTGTGCTCCTAAACATGATTCCAGCTTTGCATCAACTCTGTAATTTATACCTTAAATGCCTTTTCCTATTGCATATATGAAAGATTGTTTAATTCCACCGAAGATGTTATTTAGGTTTAAAAACCTATTCCAGTGATTCAGACTGCATATGACCTGAGGCTGCTAGAGCCTCTTTGTCTAGGTAGTTAAAACTCAGAACCAGCCATGACACTTATATTGTGCATTTGTAGTAAATAATATAAAACTCTGAATAGATCCTCAAATGCTCAGTTGTTTGCCATTTAAAAAAGTCCACTGGGAAGTATTCACTAACTTGCATCATTTTTGTGTCATAATTATCTTTAGTGAGTAATCATCTCTTTTATTCTGACTAGAATGGAAATCCTCAAAATCCATACTGCCATGGAATTGATGGTGTGATGGAAGCGTATTACAGGAGTCTAAAATCTGTACAGCTTTATGGACCAACAAACTTTGCCCCTGTAATTAATCATGTTGCAAGGTAAGCAAGACAACAGTTACTATGCAGAAATAAAGTTAACTTCTTAATAACGTATAACTGTTGCACAGAAAAGGCCTAACAGTTACATGAAGCTAAAACATTTTTTAAAAAGTATTTACAGCTATCTTGTACATTCATTCTAATGAGATTAATTTATGCCTCTGAGTAGGTTTGAAGACCAGGCGTTACTGTTGTACTGAATTTCATAGCAAAAGTAAATACAGGTGACCCGGTTGATCCACCATGTATTAAACTCTTAGGAGAAATCATAATGAAAGAAAATTTCTGTGAGATCACTCTACCATGTTGCCTTTCTGTCCCGTGAAGTACAGTGATCAGGACTTTTTTTTCATGGAAAAGACATAAATCTACAAAATAATCCATAAAGTGCACTTTTTTTAGACATACACAGTAACTCTAGTCTCAGAATGTCCAGAACCTCAACAAAATCTTCTAGGACTCTTTGGCTACAGTGGCTCCTAGCTGGTAGTGGTACCATCAAGGCAATAGTACAGCCTCTGCTGGGGAGCCATGGTGTTGGGTTGTGCATCACCTCCTCTAATGCCTCAGAATAAAATCTTTCCTATGTTTGTAGAAGTTTTTTTGGAGGAGAGAAACGTTGCCTTATTTTGGCAGACGAGATCTTGGCTTACAGTATCCCTCCCTGTGTGGGTCTAGGGAAGGGGATGTGGCTCCTATAATTCTGCTGAGTAGTAACTACCCGAACATATTCTGTTTTATGTATAGATACAGAGAAAGAACTAATGTTTATTATATAAAGCAGCAAGGATCTTTGTGTAAATTATTTTAGTAATGGTGTCTTATATATGAGCTTGCAAACTAGTTACTTGTTATTGCAATAAATATTTATTTACTCTCTGTTCTTGCTACTGTCAGTTGTACTGCCCAGTGAAAAATAGTTTGTAAATTCTATGGTGCAAGGAGTTTTCTGCATGCTGCAGCATGGCGAAATAGCTGGTTTTAATTATTTGTCATTAGAACTAGTTATTCTATCTTTGAATCATACCATTCAAAATATGGACATGTACAATCCATTGCTTGTCTTCAGCAACTACCTGTCTCCCTTTCATCTTCCCTTTGACATGGTCTCTCCAATAGCAGTTTTCAGAGTGTGTCCCTTCAGTGGGGAAATCTGCCAACCTTTATGACCCTTATTTCCAGTGAAATTTTGCCTAAATATCAATTGTTGCAAAATTTGATAACTCCCCTGATAACAAATCATGCTACAATAGGAGTGGATAAGCTAAATGTCATCATGAGGGTTTCTACTACATTATCCTTTAATACGGTCCCTGTACCAGACCAGCTCTTGATTACACCATTTCCGTTCAAGGATCAGTTTCTTGGTTCTTCTCCTAACTCATAGATATGACAGTAAAACTGATGATACATACTCCTCTGATTCAGCCTGGTGTTACTCTTTGAATGTACCTTCAGTCTCAAAGAAAATTCTTATTACACCCTTCCCATTTAAGAACATTCACCTGAAGAAGTCTCTGGAAACTGTGTCAGACATTACCACGCTGTTATGATCTTAGAAATCTTCAGAAACTCTTTTAAGCAAGCAATGCATTTTTTATGCTTCCTCTAGCTAGTGAAATATCTAAGCTACACCAGATTCTACCTTAGTGTCTTCTGTTATCTCCCCTCCTCACATAAGATCTTTTCTCTAAAAAAACTTCAGACTGTTTTATTTTCTGGAGATTTCAAAACAATCGAATTTCTGTTCCGTTTTTTTCAGGATAGATGTGTAGACAATATTAAGTGCCCACAGGTAATAGTGAATGTTTGTTTTACTCTCTCATTCTGTTATCCCTTGTCACTGCAGTCTTCAGTGAAAAGATTATGAACCCTGTAGAATAAGAAAAAGAAATTCTCAACATGGTAGAGCAAATGTATTGCAGTAGGTCTTGTTAATCCAGATTCTTAATTATCAGTCCTTACTGCCACCATACAAATAGAAGACATTAAGGAGGTTCATTGACTGTCTTTTCTGACCATCTGTGTCTTGGGGAGGGAGAGGGAGGAGTGTGATGACTTTCTGTGAGTTTTAGATCATTTCACACACATTCCTCCAGGTTCTTGCAAATGTTGTGGTTACAACTGTTGGCAGCAGTCACTCGCAAATGCGCTATGTAGAATCAGAGTTCAGAATATTCTAAGCGCATGCAATCCTCATTAGACAATACCTTGTTGAAAGGCCCAGGCCTTTCAAGTTCAAGGACCAATAAGATACTGAATTCTGTGAGAGTCATGTGCTGTACTTGAGCATATATTCCATAATATCCATATGGAGACCTCTTCCTTTTTTTTCATCTCCTCTCCATGCTACTCATAACTACTGCTAGCTGACCCGTTTCATGAAAGTGGTAACCATACTGGCTGTTCTTAAATGTAGCGGCATATCTATTTCCATAGTTGGATGATTAACGGATTACAGGCTGCTCCAAGCAAAAAGGTTGTTTGCTCACTAAATAGAGTACTTTGACCCTTGGGAGCTGAAGGTAAACAAACCGCAGTTGTAGTTTTTGCTGTACAAGCCACAGAGTTCACTGGGGCTGCTACAGATCAGTTAATCTTCCAAGAACTTCCAAATCTTCAAAAGCTGCTCATTTTCTAAGAGCAGTTTTTCCTTGGGTTCTTTGGTTGAGGTGGGACTAGAATGACACTGGGCATGTTCTGTCTTGTATTCCTGTACTGAACAGGAGAAAGCTTGAGTGCTTACAGCGTATCTGTGGGTGGTGGAAAGGGATGAATATCTAAGCCTAAATGGTAAGGTGCGTATTCAACTGTTCTATGAATGTGCACATGAACTGTAAATCTCAAAATATGGTTAACAGTGACTAATCTTTCTTTACAATACAAAATACAGTTTAATGAGATATTTATGCAGTGCTAACTTCAGATAAATTTTATTTGTGCCACAAAAACAACCACTCAATAGTAATATATTCCTTTCATACCAAACTGTGTCCCTCAGAGGCAGTAACTAGTCAGTAACATAGACATTCTAAGAGCTCATGGTTCTATAGAGGACCTAGTGTCCCTCCTCCTCCTGTTATTGATACAGGTTCCATTTTTCATTGATTTGACACGTGCAGATTATCAATATCAATATTATATTCATTTATTTTTTTCTAAGGTTCTCAGTTAAAAGCAGAATGAATGAATGTCTTTACTTTTGAAGATCCACTGTGTCATACCTTGTCATTTTTAGTAGTCCTTAGTGATAGAATTTTAAAAATACAACTTCTAATATTAGTTCCATTGTATAAAGGCTTTTTCCTATTATAAAAAGGCTTTTTTTCTGTTATAATGTTCTTTTTTTCCTCCTTTAGATATGCTTCTTCAGTAAAAGATGGCTCCCAGTATTTTGTCCTTCTCATTATTACAGATGGAGTTATTTCAGATATGGCTCAGACAAAAGAATCCATAGTGAATGTAAGTTTTACTTAAAATTTTGAAGTTCAAAAGAAATATGTTTCTAGATATTAATATTTTAGGCAATAAACTAAACTAGTTCATATTTCAGGCACAAAACTATCTCCATAAATTAGCCATTGTTCTGAAACAGCAAAAATTTATTATGCATAAAGGTGAAAAGAAACTAAAATTTGAATCTCAGTTAACTTAATTACATAGTGTTCTGAAGGAAACGGTACTCTTCTCTTTAATGTGACATTTTCACATGATTTCCCTCATCTGCTTATTACCTCGTCCTGCTCCTCTTTCTCCTCCCTCATGCACATCACATCATGCAGGTTTTTATTGTGAATTGTTCTTTATCTTTGTAGCAATTGCAAGCAACTTTAATTTTTTCTTTTGCTTTTAAGAACTGCCCAGAACTTTCTGCTCGCAAATGGCAAGCGTGCAAGTCATCTGATTTCCTTTTAGATAACCGCCTGGAATTCTAAAAATTCTGAACTGTTTCTCTGTTTCTTCATTAGTTTCAGTATTTTTCTCTTCAAGACTGCTATGCTTATAAATCATATTTTGCTTTATGAGCAGGTCGCATTCTCCTTCCCCCTTCAGAAATATCAGCTAAAATATACACAAAAGCAGCTTCTAGCCAGGGTTTGAAAAGATATATACTAATAGTTTTGAACACATCAGGATGGATCTAGTTTACTAGTAAAGTGGTGGGTGAAAAGCCTACACTAAAACAGTTAAGCGACTTGTCAGAATGAGTGGTGTAGAACTAAGAGTATATTTTGTAGTTCCACTTCCACTACCTCCTCTAGAGATAGAGTCCCCTCGCAGTTTGTAGGAGGCACATAAAAATATTACTGGAACGTTCTGCCTTTCACTGGAGAGCAAGATGCCCTCAAGTCCTAGCCAGTGGCATGTAGGCAGGGTGTGTATGTTGATGAGGACCCTGACTACCCACCGGACAAATTTTGACACCCAGAGCTTCAGATGTGTTTGAACGTACCAGCCTACTTCCTCTCCCCTTCCAGCCTCCAATATTGAAATAGAGGTAAAAGGACTCTCACTTTTAAAGGAGATAAGCAGGCATTTTGCTTGGAAGTTCATGCTCCGGTTCAGTCTAGATACTTGGAATATAGCTTCTATCAGGTAACAAAAGGGCTAGATGGAGGAAGAAGAACAGCCTTTGATTTAACTCACCCCTCAGTTCAAAGTCCATCCAGGGAGTAAGGAAAGGGCCAGCAAGTCTGAATGGTTGGTGGGTGGTTGGTATTTTGTAGGACTGAATAAATAATTTGCCAGTAAGAAGTACAGAAGAGCTTTGTTTTCAGGAAAAATTTTTATAACAGAAACATGATTTTAGATTGAGGGAAAGTCTGTGATAACTGCTGTTCTGCAACTGTTTGGAAATACAGCAGAGGTGTTGTTAGCTTGGAATGAGTGAAAATTTGGGAATATATGCAGTCTCTTATTTTTATGAAGATACATTAATTTTTCTGCATTTCTTGAAACGATTACAGTATACTCTGACAGAACTAATTAATTAATTGCTGTTAAATAGCATTTTTTCAGTAAGTAATAATATCAGAAATAATTAAAAGGGCAATGATGTTAAATGCAACCTGATGTATATAAATCTCAGGAAGAGTATATTTTATTTTTTGACATGGATTGTGCTTTTATGCATCTTTCCCATTACAGCATGTATGTCAGACCCATTCTGTTTTATCAGACTGTTTAAAGGTTACACTGTCATTCAGGAAATGCCAACACTAAGTTTATATGGAAAAGTTTGACTCTTCTGCTCTACCCTGGTCCTATATATGTTACTGTATTCATACATATTGTATCACATAGTACTAAGTCTGTATGAGCAGAAGTCTCTGTAAAGAAGGTTTTCTTTGCAATCAGTTAAAAAGATTATGTAAAACACCTAAAAAACAGAGGAAGTTCTGTTTGGGTTTGTTTTAAGAAATGCCTTCACGTCCGAATAGATTTACTACTCGCTATCGTTTGACTTTCACAGTGTATTGTAACATTTTATAAATTTATAATTCATTCACAGTTATTTGTAGTCCTTAATATGTTTAGTTGCCTTTTACTATTTAACTAAATGGGAATTATTATATATGTTTTTTGCCATGCTACAAAATTGTAATTGGAAGGTTGACTTCCAACACTTCATAATGAATTTGCAGTAGTACTTTAATAATTTAAAGTGATGTAGGACCATTAGATAGTGAGCTACAGACTGGCATATTTTCATTGTTTTAAATAGCATGTTTATATTACTGAACTATAATTCTTTTGGTTAAAGAAAATTGTTTTTGTATGCAATGTTACGACAGATCAAGAATAAGAAATTGTGATGGTATATGTAAAAAAGTGAATGTCTTTTAGACGAGGCAGAAAGACACTTTTTACATTCCAAAAAGAAAAAGATAACAGGATGTTCTAAAAACGTCTGACTTCAGACTTCAGTGAAGCAGAGTTTAATTTAGCAAAGACTGTACATCTATGATTTTTGACCGATGTGTACTGCTGTTTAAAATGACTGTAGATAATTCACAGCTCAGCAGAATGTCTCAGTAAGGAACATTTGTCAACCTTGACATTTGGTAGATGGCTTTTTTTTTAGTTGTTGCCCTCCTGAAAAGAGCCAGTTCTAGATGATTTCTGTAAACTAGCAGATGTCTTGTGTGGCTGTCAGGGCAGGAGAATCTGCAGTATTTATGATATGGCATTTGTACATTTACAGACTTTGCAGAGATTTATTAAGAGAAAGTGAGATACTGTCTCTGCCATAGTGTCATTAAATGAACAGATTAAGTACAATTAAAAGTCTTACTGTAAAACAGTAAAAAAAACCTTATTTATCTTAGATGACTGATTTGAATAATATTTATTTCATGGCATAAATATAAAACAGATATTTCTCAAATAGGTGATTTATTCTCCTGAGAATTACACTAAGATTTATGTAAAAAAAATATAGTCATGTAGGGCCAAGCAGCTATGTAATGTCTAGAAACTGCAGAGTACATATAAATGAATGTCAGACTGTCATTAGATACATACTTACAATTATTGTCAGTTTACAAAAGTTTCTAAAAGAAATTTATCATCGTAGTTGTCATCTTAGTTGTCATCTTAATATTAAATCGTAACATAGTTTGTTGTGTTTAATTATGATCCTGTATGAGTCAAAGACTTTGTAAGCAAAAATAAATCAAACATAATCATCTGCTTTACTATCTTCATCCAGGATAGTTTATATCACTTTAGCAGACAATTTATACTTACCTTTTTTGAGAAGAAAAACGTTCTTCTTTAAAACATAATTTCTGCATGTTTTTTGTGCAGATTGTCTTCAGATCTCATAAAATTTTGGCAGAGATTGAGTAGTGTATCAAATCTCTTTTTCTTCTTCTTTTGAAGGCTTCAAAGCTTCCGATGTCAATAATCATAGTGGGAGTAGGACCTGCAGAGTTTGATGGTAAGTGTTTTAGTGTCAGTAAGTTTTTTGTTTTGCTTTATTTTTCTAGAATGTTTTATATTTATTTATATTTTGGGAATATGTAGCTTTTCAAATAAATATGTTCTTTAAAAGACCATAATATGGAACAAGCGATAAACAGTGTTGACATTTCCAGCTGGATTGATTGATAATTCAGTATGATTATAAGCTACTATGTGGGGCTGTATAGCCCCTCAGGCTCTCTGTTCAAATCACAGAACCATATGGGGGGCTTAACATTTACAGAGCTCCAGAAGATGAATGGAAAAAATAGCAAAGTAAGTATATTCAAGTAATGCGGAGTTTCTGCAACATGGATATTTAGTTGTCTTGTGCAGTTGTCAGTTGACTGGAAATACTGATAACCTGTTCTTATTGCAGTAACAAAATACTGAGAAAAATAAATAAATTTGAGGACGTCATCTGGGTTAAACTGGGTTTCACTTTATAACAGGAATGAGTTTCGCTATGTCTCAGTATTGGGTGAACATTACAGGCAGGAAGGGAAATACCAAGATTATTTACAAATTCTTCCATGTGATGTTCCAGCACATCACCTTCTCCACTGCAATGACTAAGCTGCTTCCATTGTTTGAACTAACTTACTTAGTGCCATCTTGCATACCATTGCACTATGAAATGTAGACATTCCCTATATATCTGTTCTTCAAAGTGCCACTTCCTTGTTTCCATCTCAATACTTCTGCTTAGATGGTATGCTTTTCTTAATATGTGGAGAATACTTATTATCACAAATATATAACGTAAATAGTCACTAGTGACTGTTCATTTTAGTTCTTACACAAACGTTCTAGGAGTATGAAAACAAGAGAAAAATGACACAAAATAATTTACTGGGGGTTACATTTCTTGTGCTCTTTGGCAAGTGGTATTTTAGTGATCATTTTAAATAACTTACTTTTTTTTTGAAGAGATTGTCCAGCTGGACATTCACACTTCAGGTGATTATGTGCCACAAGCCCTAAGAGGAAAGTGTTTATCTTCACAGATGCATAAGGAAACTTGCAAGCTTTATTCCAGCCTGCCTCCTGCAACAGTTTAAACTGCAGTCCTACATTACTTATTTTCCTCTCACCCCTCCTTTCCCCTTTTCCTTTTCCCTATTTGTCCAGTCCTTGGGTTTGCTCCCCTCAGCTCAGTCAGGACATGTAGGTTATGTTTTCCTCTTTACTTCTGGAGCTTGTCTTTATGGAGTTCTTGGGTTGTCATCCCTATAGGCTTTTCTTAAAGCAGGATTCCATTTGTACTGCAAGATACAGTTTCCATCTTTAGACCAATGCTCCGTAAGTGCACTGCCTCTGTACAATTTACCTATTTAGATGTATGTCAGATCTATTCCTCAGGGACCAAGCGCAGAGATTACTTGTTCCATATGCAAAAGTTCCTTCTAGGAAAAGCAGTGGGCTTCATATCTGATGTGGACTGTGAAAAAGTTGAGTGTGTGGGGGGGATATATTCGAGGCCCGCTGCCACAGAGAAATCTTTATCTGTGTTGATGCTTGGAGAGCCTTAAAATTCAAAGGCCAGTCACAACTCACTTCTGCTGTTAAGTAGACTAAGCCACTCTTCTTCTGATACCACCACCCACGAGATCTCCCAGCCTGTAAGGGCTATCAGAGAGGTTCATGAGAGTCTGGAGCTCAGACAGGAGGTACATACTTTTGGCACAGCACTACCTAAGGGTGTGAGGATGACCATAATGGTTCAGATCAAGGGTCTGATTTGCCCAGTATCTTGTCTCTGACAGTGGCCATAGGTGGTTATCTAGAGAACAGTAAGAACATAGTTAAGTATATATGATACTTTTGTGAATACTGTTTTAGTGTTGAGTTTTCTGAGAAGGACGTGGTTTACGTTTATTTTGGAATTATCAGTGGATCTCTCCTTCAGATGCTTGTCTGGTCTCCCCTTCTGAACACGTACAAACTTTTGCATCCACAGCATCATTTGGCAATGTGTTCTGCAGAGCTGCTAACTGTTTATTGAAGAAATATGTTCTTTTTTTTTGCTTGAAATTGGCTCCTGGTGTGTTCACTTATGCTTTCTTGTTCTTGCACTGGAAGAACTGGATTTTGAAGTGTTGGTATCAGTGATCTCAGCCCAATTCGTAAACCCCTGAGAAGCTTCAGTGCTACAGAGCTTTGGTTTGCATAAGGTGTCCTGAAAGAAGGAATGTAGGACTGCTGATCCCAACAGTGTGATAATGGTCTGTGGTCCCTCTGTTGCAACACTGACAAGAGAGCAGATATGTCTTTCTACCTGGAATAGCTTCTGGTATCAGGACAATTTTAGAGTTTTCCTGGACCTTATTCAAAAAGCTGCACAGGCACTGAATGCTTCTCTGGAGGAATTCACTGATCCCTTTCCCAGCCTGCTAAATGCTCTTCACCAACCTGTGTTATTAGCACCTAGTGCTAATAGATGATGCTGTTTTATAATTTACATCATCCAGCAGCCCCAAGATGCAAAAACTGAACTGCGAACATCATGTTCTCACCGAAATCATTGGTCTTTGTACTAATCCAGCTATATATATTTAGCATCCCAGTACTTTCTGTGCTGTCTTCAGCAGTACAACTCTTGAACGAATCAGGGGAAAGGAGGCAACATGGAATAAGTTTCAGTGGTTTTCCATGTCACAGAATTTGACCTGAGGAATTGATTATGCTACCCAGAAATGAAAGAATTTAGTTTAGCTTTACATTGCAGAGCAGAAAATTAGAAAATAAAAAATGAGTCATTCACTAATCATTTATTATGAAGTGTTATCAAAAGTGATATCAAAAGTGATTTTTTTCCTCTAAGAAAAAGAAAAGAACTCTTCTCTTCAACCTAGAGCCTTGTTTTTTGTTTTGCTTTAGATAGGATGTTTATATGTCTACATGAATGTATATTTTCACAACCAAAAGAATCTCAGTTATGCTATATCAAAAACTGTGTAAAAGACCGACAAATTCTGTAGTTAGAGTTATGTGATAAATTTAAGAAAAACCTTTTAAAAGCTTCTCATTCTTATGTGATAGATCACTTTCAGTATGAATTTGACTGATTATTTCTTTGTGCCATATCTTATGATATCATCTATAAGAATAACCTGAAGGTGAATTCTTCTCCACCTATGGAAGTATGAATATAGTCTCACCAAAACAGATATACTTGCTGGTTTAGGAGCTGGAAGGATAAGGAGTTTATCATGGTGTGTGTTGTTCTGAAGATGACAATAAAATGGCAAAAGTATTCATTGTCAGCATGAAAAAGTGCAAAATAACTGCTGTGCATGTTGTATTTCATAGAGCAAATTATCCAAAGAGTTACCTTAAATTAGTAGTTGTTGATTTATTTTGTTGTTCAGAAGTGTAAATGGACTAAATTTTTTTTCATTAATGTTTTTGTTGGATAGATGAACTCATAGATGAACTCATTTGTTCCTTTTTTTAAGCTATGGAAGAACTGGATGGTGATGTAGTCAGGATTTCTTCAAGGGGAAAATTTGCAGAAAGAGACATTGTGCAGGTGGGAGAGAAAAATTATTCTAATAATTAGATTTTATTGATCCTGTTTATTTTTAATTCTTGTTCTAGCCATATTCCTGCCTTTCTTTTTACCTTAGCACCAATATACTTTATCTTGAGATGTACCTAACAAGCTTAGAATCTCTTTGCAAAATCCATATGCATTCACATAGCACATATTATTGGATTCACATTCATTAGGAAATGACCCTTAACTGACGGCACACTGATTTAAGGACTTTGGGTTGTATAGCCCAGGCTAAAGAGTTAGTTGCCCTTTATTCAGTGTACTGCAATGTCATTGTAATTCCATAATGAAAAACTGCAGCTTTTGTGGTAATACTTGGACCCCTACCAAGTGTATTTGAGATGTCTAGGGTATCTTTCTTTGCCTCTGACTGCCAGTTCAGAAGACCATAGGTCTCTCCTAGGAGAGACCTGTGAGGTCTCCTATGAGGTGCCTGTGTCCTGCGTGCCACATATGACTGTGCAGATTTCTCATACCTTAGGTCACCTCAGATGGCAGGAGACATCTGTGTTTAGGTGACTGAATCAAGCTCTACTCTTATCTGCATTCCACAGGCTACTTCTCTTCTTTGCCAAAGTCCTCTGGTTCTGTTCCCGTTCTCTACAGCCGTTCAGTCAGCTCAGTAGTTGTCATTCACCCCAAAGCAACCCCTGCTGCAGCATTGACAGGGCAGGACAGCAGTTTTATGTGCCATGCACACACACCACGATCCCCCTTTCTCTTCAGAGCTGCAGATTTCCAGAACTCCACAGACATTCCAGACTATGTACTTCATCCATGCCCCAGGCACCACCTAGCCTTTGGGTTGGATTATCTACTCCCCTGGATAGGTTTCATCTTGTAATTGTTTTCATGATCAGCTAAAATTTCATCAGAAACTTGCTATGCGGTTCATATTTTCATGGCATACTACAGGGGAGCTCGCAAAGAGAAAGACTTTTGGTGGCTCAGAACACTAGTCACTGCCAAAAAGGAAGTACTAAAGACATAGTAATTCACTGTTTTTCAGATTTCAGAAAGTTGCATCAACCTGACCACTGTAGAAAGAATGATACCTGCCTAGGTCTTAATTCTCTGATAGAAGACATGTTCTCCTCGAAGCACCTGAATACATTTATGAAGTATTTCAACCTTTTCTACCACCTTAACTTTGTTTAGCTAATTCTTCTCCTCCCTTTATTCCTCCTATCTGTCAATATTTGTAGGTCTTTGCATATTTTTCTCCAAGTCGGATTGGACTTTTATAATATTGTTGCACCATAGAATGTGTATTTTGAGTAATTGACGTGTATTAATAGTTCATATTGTAGGTGATAACGTTTTAATGATACTTAAGGTCAGATTGCAGCAGATTAGCTTTGGAATGTGTTTGTTTTCGTTTATATATGCAGAAGCTTAAACATTTCTAAAAGAGTATTAAGAATACTCATGTGTGAACATTTAACGATGTGATGACTATTAGCTGATACAGCATTTCAGGCCAAGAAGGTGTTCAAAACAAGCCTCATTTTATAGTTCTTTCTGTTCAGAATACAAAACAAAGCAGGTTTGGATAAATGTATGGGAAAGGAAAATGATCAGTTCCTTTCTCATTTCTTATAGCCTCTCAGTGCAGTACTGCATTAAAATTCCCTCTCTATATTTTTTTCTTAAGCAGGAATCAGAAAGGAGACTAAGATAACAGGTAGCAGTTAAATTGCTCTCATACTTTGTGTGAATATACATTAAAACTTTTTCTTAGATTCCTGAATTACTTTTTTAATAGTTTAAAAGTTTAAATTAAACTTTAGAAACATAACAGTTTTTCAACTACTTTTTAAATGTTTGAAAAAGAGGCATTTTTCACTTCTACAGCATACAGAGAAAACAGCTACTGGAAGAGCAGCATATAAAAACTCAGCCATTCTAGTGATACAGGAGTAAAACATGCCTGATGCTTTAGTTAGTGTTGTCAAAAAGATGATTATAAAATTAAGGATGAGGAGAAGCTGGACAGCTCAACAGTAGGCAAGAAATAATATTTCTTACTTTCTCCAAACCTTTATAACACTCCTTAGTAGCCCAGGTTTGGCTAGATATTCCCTTCTTTAATGATCTGTGCTGTGCATGTGCCTTAGCTGTTCACGTGCCAAGGTGTGGAGGTGCCCAAGCCAGCTCTAAACAAGCTGCCTCCAGAGCTGGAAGTGTTTCTGGACCCCAGACTAGTATTTCTGCGCAGCCCTGTGCCATGTCAGGTGTTTTAAAGCTAATTTGGTTATCTCTGTCATGCACTTTACTCTGTGCTTTAAGTATGCCCAAAGTAATTATATATTATTTCTTGAAACAACAGTAGCTCCAAAAGCTGCCATTTTTACATTCAAAGAATGAAGTGGATAGACTTTTTCAAATATTATAAAGAAGATTTGAGAAAATGCTATACATCAGAAATAGTCTAGTTTCTGCTGAGAAATAAGATGTGCGATGAATACCATTTGGAATTTCTTTAGGATTCATTGCATATCAGAAACATAATAAAACATTTCTTTACTATTAATATATTTCAATCAGAACTTTGCCACAAGCCATATTAAATTTCCTGAAGGCAGTATTATTTTGTAGGGGTTTTTTTCTGCCTAAATACTAACAAATGCATTATAGGCTAGCTAGATAAATAAAAACGGATAATGTCAAACCCTGTAGGTTTAGCATGACCTTTATCTTGTATCTGACAGGATAAAACTGACTTGCTTTTATAAAATTAACCACTCAAATATAAAAAGATGATCTTTTTTAGTGGATTATGTTAGTAAAATTAACATTCACCTAATTTTAACAGTCGGTATTATTGTGAAATATTTTAGTTAAATTAACAGTGGAAAAGCTTGCCTGCTAAAAGTGAGTCACTGTATCTATTATATTTACTGCTGAATGAAATTCAGGTGAAGACATGACCATCCATTTTTCCCTCCTCACGATGGATTCTAGGTACTCTGGATTTATGTCTCCCAGTTCTTCAGTTTATTTCATTCCTGTTGCTTTGTTATCTTCTCTCTATTGAAGGATTTTTAGAAAGATTCTTATTCATATACCTGTTGCTTCACTTGAAATTTTCTTATATTAGCCTTTTAAATTAAACTCTTAAGTTACAGACAAAATGATCTGCATTCAGTTTCCCTTCACTTTTTCTTACATTCGTTTCATTCTATCTTTCTCTACGTGTTTCTGATTACTTCTAGGCCTTGCCCTGGCCAGCTGTTTTTTTGTATCTGTATGTATGTGTATCTGTCCATGGCTCCTCCAATGCTTATGTATCTTAGGAGAGAGGAAGAGAAACTACTCCAAGCCATCTATATTGCATAATTGCATTATCACACAATTCTTGAAATAGCCTCCCTTGGCTGCAGAATTGTGCACAGAATTTTCATGTCTGCAGACCAGTAGGTAAAGTGATTACTTGGAAAGAGACACGTCTTGTTTTTTAACCTAGACCGTATATGCTTTTTACGTAACAGTGACATTGTGTTAGAAAATGAGTGCTTTTTCTCATGTAACAAAGGAGGCAGAATTGGTAGGTGTCAGAGTATCTGCTTGTTTCTTATATTGAAAGTTATTCAGTAAGCGTGGAAATAATTAAGACAGCTAATTATGGAACTGCAGCTTCCTTGCTACCTTCTGTGCTTTCCAAGGCTGATGTAAAAATCATTTAATTAGGTTTACAATTTTTATTGCTGAAATGCTGTCTTTTGTTTTTCCCAAGAGTTGCTTTATTTAACATATGTAGTAAATTTCTTATGTTACTTTCTATCTTGTCTGGAAAAATTTAAGACTCTCAGAAATACAGTGTAAGCTAAGCTCTCACTGTAATTCAGCAATCACCTAAATGTTGAAAGCTTTAATGCTTTTTGGAAAAGTGAAATTTAATCTATAGCCCTGGTCGCTGTGGAGCCAGGAAAGCAAAATTTGTTGGATTGGGATAATGTGCAAGGAAGTCCACTGATCTGAGAGTTCAGCAAGGAGAGGTGAGATCTGTGGGTCTGGCTTCTCCCTTAATCAGTTTTAGTGTGCATCTTAATCAGAGTGCAATGTGGTAACAGTTAACAATTACATTGTCTCTGTTTCGTGAAAGGAAAAAATAATCGCTAGGCTTTGAATTGCAGCATAGTGTAGTGTAGCCTATCAGTACCAGAGGTAGCTTTGGACATTGAATCCCAGTTTTGAAAAGTCACCTAGCTGCAGCCCTGAGATGGGCTTCTAAATCTAAGCAAGAAGCAAAATTTCAAATAAACCTTTTCTTTGCCATAACCTATTGACTAGCATAGCCCACTCCATCTTCACATACTGTCTGTTGTTAATAAAGATCGAGAAGCCTAGAATGTTTCTGTTCTCTATGCCAAGAACACAGGCGTCTCATTAATTGTTATTAATTCCATGCCAGGCTACCTTTTTAGGCATTTAGGATAGCTGGGTATCACATAACGACTTCCTTTTTTAATCCAATCCTTTTTGCTTAGATTCTTTATGCATCTGTTAGCATCCTGTAAAAAGTGTTCAGGCACTTGATAGTGTTACTCTAATAACTTTGTGGAAGGAAAAGAAAAATAGTCAAAGCAACTTTGGGTGAGGAGCATTTTTTTAAAATGAAATACACTTTGATAAAGGTCCTACAATGTGAAATGGTAAAGAATCTGAAGTTATCCTTTCCATTTTGTTCATTTCAGATGGCAAAAAATACATAGATCCTGCTCACAAATTGCCAAAGCAGAGACAGTATGGTGGGGAATCTCTAGGAAGAGGAAGTAGAAGCTAAAAATAACTTTGGGAGACAGAATTGCCTTCTTGGATGAAAAAGGTTGAATGATAAGCCAAATATATCAATGAAGCACATAATTAACAATTTGACCTAGCCATTGCTTTAGGAGTGTGAAGTATTGGTGAAGGCTTGTCGTTGTTCCTTTTGGAAGATGCGTTTTTTTAAAATTCAGATATAATATGTATATAATATATATATGATATATTTTATTATAATTATTGTATTATTTATGATAATTATTATAATATGCTACATTTTGCACACAGACACAGACACACGCACACACACATGAAAGTTGGCATATTCGTGCTACCTTAGCTCCCTAACTCAAACTTTCTTATTTTTTTTATTATAAGATGCATTCCATGTTTGCATAATGACACATAACGAATGTATTTTTTGTTTTGTAGTTTGTGCCATTCCGAGATTACATTGACAGAAGTGGAAACCACGTATTAAGCATGGCAAGACTTGCTAAAGATGTCTTAGCTGAGATCCCCGAGCAGTTTCTCTCCTACATGCGAGTCAGAGGAATAAAGCCATCACCGGCACCACCACCCTATACACCCCCTATTCATGTATTACAGACTCAGATATGACTGCTCCACACAAGTCAAGAGTCACTGGCTGCAGTAGTAGCTTGTGATAGCTTTTTGGAGCTAGAAAAATTCTCTTCACATACCAAAATTCTCCGTATGGTTGCATGAGCAACTGAGAAGCTATTAAATGCTAGGAGAAAAATGTTGGTGTTGTGAGTCCCTTTTTTTTTTTTCTGGCAAAGCCTCTACTTTTGGATGTATTTATTGGAGGGGAAAGCACAAGTCAGGATTTCAACTCAGAAGATATTGTCCTCTCTGAATACTATGTGTACATATATGTACAGAAACGCTATTCCTCTGTATCAATGTTTACATGTTACTATTTTTAAATTTCAGTACTTTTATAACTATTCTTAAAAATAAAAGTTTGGAATATTGACTCATATGTCTCATAGCTTGCAGTAGTTGGTTAGATCACAAGAGAAGCAATATCTCTTTGAATGTTTGTCCAGACAAATACAAATGGAAAGTTAAAGAAAAGAAGGACAAATATATACTTGTTTTCCAATATCTGAATTGCTTTAGTCAGTGCTCAGTAATCCATTCATCTCACAGTTTGAGAATAAGCTCCCAAAATATGAATACCATAATTGTGTATGACTTACAACTAATTCCAAACTTCAAGGGGGAGGTATGTTTATTTTTTCAGAGATTCTCCAATTTCTAAATTTATCCAAGTTTACAGTTTTTTAAACTAGTTACTGAAGCAAATTAAAGAGTTACTTGCTGTAAGTAATTAAAGAAAATTACCTCAAATCAAATCTTTGAGTCTCACGTTGACTCACTTAGCTCATTAAATCTTATCATGTGTTCCTTAAAGCACTGCAACTTGTGCATCCGACAAGTCTTTTGAAGTGATTATAGCAGATGTTTTATAATGGATCATTTTAAACTTACTTTAAAATTGTGAATTTTGTCTAGATTGCCCATTCAAAGGGATGCTAGCTCTTAATATTTGGGTTTAATATTGTCATGTAATCGCATTGCCATTCAGGGTGCATGAATGATAATGTTAATTAACTGGTTTAAAAGTTGCACAGCTGTGTTGCTTTGTGCACAACTTTGTGTACTGGACTACCCAAAAATTTTATTATATGCCTGTTCATATATAATTATAAAATGATTTTGCATGTACAGTTTTTACAGAATACACAGTTTTGTGAGTTTGTGTCAGATATATTTTATTTAGAACTAATGGCCTTAAATTTCACAGAACTCCTGAAATGATCGTGAATTGCCTTTGAATAATGTTAAAACTGAACACTTTATTTTTTTGTGTCACAACTGTAACTGTCTTGTAATGTAACTTTTTTCTTTGCATATAACCTGTTTACTACTTCTGTTTCTTACTACTACATGTTGTACTGTACAGTATAAAACTAAGGTGCGTTTTTAAAGCATGGGAAGTTTTTTGCCAGAAAACAGATCTTCAGTATCAGTGGCATATAACTATGTAAATGCAGAATCTTCCATTTTTAAATATATATAAATTCCTTTAACTATCTCATGTGGGAAATTACTTTTTTGAGATAATTACTCCATTACGACCAAAAAGACTTTTTTTGTAAAAAATAAATCTTGTTTTATTTTTATTTCAAAACAGTTTTTACATAAATACGGATTTTAATTTTCTCACTAAAATATTTATTTCTCAGTGGATTGGTGTTGCATGAATGAAATTTGATACTTGGCAACTCAAATTTTGAGGAAAGTGCCATAAAGAACAAGTTTAAATATCTGTACTGAACGGTGGTGGTATTTTGCTTACATCTTCTGCATTTATTTTTCACACACCAAATTAATATTGTGTTTCTGTTGCCTTCATCCTTTAGACAGATATTTTTGCTGACATTTGTTTTAGTCCACAGCAGCCCATGTATTTAACAGGTTTTCATTCTATGGCAAGATTACTGACTTTTGGTTTTCAGTTTCCACCTCTTAAAACTGTTTGGTTCTTCACCTTTTACCTAGTTCTTAGGGCAGTCAGAAAGAAGAAAAGTTTAAGAGTATGTTTAACCATCAGTTTTATTAATATAAAGATTAGTCTCAGAACTAATTTAACAAGTGATATCAGAAGGACATTTTGAAGACAGATATTATTTAATCAGAATTGTTTTTTCTATCCAACCCAAATATCTGCCTATTGTATTCTGCGCTGCTGTTTCTTCTGTCTGGTATTGGATTGTAAATCTAACATAATTAGTTGGAACAAAAATAAGAAATCAGTGGATAAAGTTTTTTAGTGAGAAAAGGATTCCAGATTTCTGACATTCCCTAGGTGTCCCCTAGGCTCCCATGCTAGCCAAAGATTTCAAGAACATATCTAATAAATGTAAGTAAGCAATCTTTCAGTCTTCTAGAAGTGCATTTGATTAAATGTTCAGTTAGGGTGTTTGAGAGACATCAATTTTTGGCAGAGAGCACTGTTATTTTAATCCTATATAAAATATTCTTTTGTAATTTCATAATGTATGAAATTAGAAATTACTGGCCTGTATAATCATTATATGTCAAACTGAGATTAATTTTATTTTGACTATATGGTAAAATAATAAAGGAACAGATTACTTAACTGGCATTTCAAATATAGTTGAAAATAAGTCTTAACGACTAATGTAAGTAATAAAGAATCTCTCTTCCACTATCAGTGCGCTGGAGAAGGTCTGTTTCTTACAAAGTTATGTAAGACTGAAGTGCCGTAATGACTGACATTTTCACAAATACGCAGATGAGTAAAATGTCGAGATGACACTCTTTGTATTTCTTTTGCTTTTATTCAAGCTATCCTTAGGTCCTATCATCCTTATGTTAGACATTTAATATTTAATCCTAATTAACTCTCTGAAACTTGAGTCAAACTTGTCTAGCTTAATAAAAGTGTGTGCTTAAAAAAATTTAGAGAAAATATTAGTCTAATTTTTATACTTTCTGTTAAGCCTGTTAAACTACATCTAAAGATACAGTGAGGAGAAAAAAAAAAAGACAGAAATCACAGGAAAACAGTCCTCACTGAAATACTGTGAAGTATTTTTTTTTTCTTCTGTTTAAGACCAGAATGAATTTTCAGCCTGTTAGTACTCTGATTTTTTTGTTTATTTCTTTAACGATGATAGCCGCCTTTTTTGTGGTGGGAGGATTTTGATAGCTTTGGCAGGGACTGGTTTGCTAATGACTTCCTTGTGCTCAACGGCTGTCTTAATCTTCTTAGGCAGTGTGCCCTTTTAGCTTGACTCTCACTTTTTCTCCCTCAGTCATTCTGTATTAGAGATGAGAGTGAGTTCATGGTCATAAATTTCGTTCCTCCAAAATATCATGTACAGGAAATTTTACTTCTGGCTTTATTCTCAAGAATCATGAAACACAAAACTCTCTTCCTCCTTAAAGAATGATAGCTGCTGTACCTTCCAGTTTAGGGCAGGAACTTTTCTCTGACCAGAGTTGTATCTGGTTCCCTTATATCCAGTTGGACCTAACAAATTAATTAGCTGTGCCAGTGAGGCAGCTCTATGCAGAGTTCAAGATCAAGCTCATGCTGCTACTCTTGGGTTGTAGATTTTACCATGCTGCTGTAGCTGGCATATCATAATTAATGGCCCTCCCATTCTGTATTTAAAAAAGTCTATTAAAGAGCTAGGAAATGATGCCTAGGCACCTCTGTCACAAAGGCGGAAGCAAGACAACAGAAGGTAGTGTTAATGAAGGATCTGTACGGTGTCCAGTTAGGAAGCTGTGTAAGGTCAAAAAGAAACAGATGATGTAAAAATTTTGGATGTTGAACGTTAAACTACACGGTACATATGAAAAGTAATAAATCTTACAAAATGATAGCAATGGTTATGACTAAGTACCAATACTGTACACTTTCAGGATAGGTAGACATATAGTGGCATATATGTTCATGGTCTCTTAGATTGTAAAGCAGTAAGTGCTAACTTGGAAGATCTCTGTTTTTGCGATGGAGATTCTCAACAGTGAGGAAAGGCGGAGTGAGTAAGAAAAATGAGTGAGAGAAGTACCTTATCTGTTACTAGATCATGAGGCAAAATTAAAAAAGAAAACCTGCTCAAATGGTCAGCTGATCAGTCTCCATTGAACATAGTAAAAGGACTGTCATGTGAAATTACAAGTGTGCCGGCAACCCTTGATCAGGCTGTCAGACTGAAGAGCAGCAGACAATTTGGAAAAGGAAAAATATGACACGGCAAATGACAAATGAATTACCCTGAAGGGGGAACCCGGTGGCTTGAGGAAAGGTTACTAGCTCACTTCCTTTGGTGTCCATCTTTGAGCTGATCTTTTCTTCGCAATAAACGTGGAAAATTACATGGCAGGACACAAACTATACAAATGTTCCTACAAATTAGGCAGTACACCATTTGTCTCATGAAGGATGTAATCGGAGAGTGACTATTTTAGGTTTGATTCTGACTGGTGAGGAATTGTTTGCTAATCTAGGAGGAAAGATTAGTTTGATTGTAATCACAAAGTAGAATTTTGTAATTGTGGGGAAACCCCCCTACAAGCCTTGCAACCTATACATTAGAATAACATGGACTTCAAATCAGCTTACTTCTGTACACAAAAAGGTTCGTTAACTGCAGTCCCCTGGGGAGGAATCTGAACAGAGTCCGAGAAAGAGTCCGAGAGAGTAAGTATTTTCTGAAAAGACGCATGTGAAAAGCTGGAAATACTCAGCTAAATAGGGACAGATGAAATTCACTCCAGAATACTTTAAGAAATGGCTGAAACAATCTGGATGATAAATGATTATCATCTTTGAGAACTAATAAAAGCACACACAATGACAAATTATGCCGATGCAGTGGGAAGCCAGGGAGGCTATTATGACTGTATCAGAAGTTCCTTAAACAAAAAGAAAAAAATCAAGACCAAGAGAAAGGGAGAAGATGTTGTTATAGATAAATGCACAAGATTAGCACAAACATGGAAGGAAGACAGCAAAGCACAAAGTAAGTTAAAACTCAATGTCTTTTTCCTTCAGTCTTCACAAAAGAGGGATAGTGAGCATTATAGGAATTGCTCAATTTGTATGAAAAACAAAACTTGAACGAATCATGTAATAGTATTTAGCTGCCTAGGAGATACCAAAGTGATATACAGCTCCCAATAGCAAATAGTTAAAAATACATAATTTTGAAACAACTTTCTTGGAAAGCAGTATAACAAGCTTCAGGATAAAGGAGAGAAGTTGATGTCGTGTAACTTTAATAAAGCTTTTAACATAACATTTTGCAAGCAAACCAGATGTGACCTCACTTGAAGTGTTAATGAAATATTGCAAAACTGGTTAGACCGTATTCAGAAAAATGCTTTCGTTGTCAAACTGCAAAAATGTATCAACTGATGTTACATAGCGGCCTATGTTGCTTTTGATACTGTTCGGCCATAGCCATTGATAAAGTAATAAGCAGGATGTTTAATAAATTAGTGGTTTATATCACCTGGAGATAACTTAAGCACCTTCAAAGACTGGATTAAAACTCAGAATGATTTTTATGAATTAGAAAAATTCTGAAAGAGGAACCAATTCAGTAGGAGATGCAAGGGTACGTAAGTAGCAGTAATCAACTACACAATTGCAGGAGTTGCTGGCTAGGCAGCAGTTCTACAAAAAAAAAAAAATCTGATTTTATGATGGGTCACAAAATAGAAATTGAGGGGGAGATGTGTAAATGGAAGTTTTGAACATAGGCCACCTGAAATAATCCTTTCACTGTTCTCAAAATATTAAAGCCTCAGCTAATGTACCAGGTACACTTTTGAGACTTCAAGTGAAGTATGGATGACGTCGAAAAAGTCATGAAGGTCTGTGAGAACAAGTGAGGCGCGTGATCGGGGAAGATTTAAATATACCTGGCCTTCATTCAGTTAGGCACCCTGCCGGAGACTTTCTATGATTCTTTTTGATGATCCTGGTGAACTATCGCAGCAAGTGTTACTGTATGAGATCGCAACAAGCTCTAGTGACATGAACGTTTGTAAGAGAACAGACTAATGTAAGCACGCAGAAATATTTGCGTGAAGAACTGAGCGTGACTGGTTAGACTGTTAGGTTGCTGCATCATATGACTCTCAGTTTTCACAGGAAGTATACACTTACTTTGTTTCAAAATGCTTTATGGCAATAGTACAAATTTTATTCCATCACTCCATTATGGATTATGGCACCCTTGCCACTGAATTGACAGGGTATGGTTTCAAGGTGTATTTCACACCAGCATTGTGCATCTGTCCTCACTGGTACTAGAATGCGTGTCTTGCCTTAGCAAGTCATTGACCATCAATGACTTCTGTTTTCAAGTTGGCTCTCTAAACAAACTGTCTAGAATACTACGTTTCTGAGCATGTGCTTAGTGCTAAACATTTGGTAATACTAGATTTCATCACTGGGAATCTTATTTGACTATTTTATCTGCAGACAGATCAAAGGCATCCATCTGACTCAGCCTTCAATATATATTCCATGTGCCGAAACTGTGTAAGAATGCTGTGAGATACCTGCCCCATAAATATGAAGCATGGTGCCTGGTATTATGCATTCTACAGGTGATAGCACAACCGCCTCAAGGCACAGCTGGCCATAGCTGTTCACTGAGTAATCTCCTCACTTCTGCATTGGTCTGGTCCCCAGGGAGCAAAAATTCTATGCAGACTTAAGAGGCACATGATTGTCATAACAACTGGGTGGACTTGTGTGTCCCCTTGCCACAGGCCCCTGCATAGTTCGGTTTCCTCAGGCTGATGATGAAATTGAAGGAATTGACTGCATGTGCAAACTGGTTAGCAGTGACCTCAATCTTCAACTGAGTGGGCCATCGCGATGCAATCATCAGAGAAAAGAAATTCACTAGGGAGCAAATTGGCTGGTTTTTGGTGAGCACAGAAGTAATTCAGATCGAGGATTTCAAATCAAGCAGTGAAGAACAGAGTAAGTAGTCCCCTCCCCATGTCATTCCACTGGCACTGGCAAAAAAAAAAAAAAAAAAAACAGAAAGTATGGAAGCCAGCACACAGCCTTGACTGACTGCTTCCTGTGTGCATGAGGGAATGGAAAATACCCATAGCTTGTCAAACCTGGAGGAAATAAGTGAGGTTCTGCAGAAGTCTCTCTCAGGTCTATTTCTGGTAAATATTGTCAATAAAGCTATGAACATTGGATTAGAGGGTACATTTATAAAATCAATAAATGTACTAGCTGGCCAGGATTGCAGGCTGGGAGGCCTGGTTAGAATTCAAAGAATGATCTTGATAAATTAGAGGAAAGGTCAGGAATTAGTGAGATAAACTGCTGTGAAAAAAGTGGAAAATGCTACATTCATGAGGGAAATAAACACAAGCACAAAATGAAAAATATCTGGATAAGCAGCAGTTCTGGAGCAGATAAGCTGCAGATCACAACTGGACTCCAAAGTGAATGTTGATCAAATTGTGATACTGTTACATAAAAACCAAAGATAACCCTGGAAGGTGTTAACAGCAGCAATGTTAGTATGCCAAGGGAGATAGTTACTCTTCTCTACTAAGCAGTACTGAAGCCTTAGCCTGGCACTGTCTGGACTACGGAGACGTAGAAAGAAAGATATGGACAATTTTGAACAAGTCTAGGAAAGAACAAAAGCAGATGATGTTTAACCCACGAGAAAAAGAATTAAAGCACTTTGGTACATTTAGTATGCAAAAGGCCAAGAGGGACCATGATAACTGTGTGCCAGTGTGCAAAGAGGTGCTATAATGAGCCATTCTCAAAGGTCAGCAATGACAGGTGAAGTTATCATCTTTGGCAGAAAAGAAAGCTTATACTGGAGGACAGAGAAAATTTTATAACTAACTGGAAGGCGTGTTCTAACAT